ATGTGTTGACGCAGGAATGCAGCATTAACTGAAATCCTGAGCGAAAAAACGTTGGCAACGTGGGACACAAAAGGCAACAGAGCAGGACAGTTCCATGCTTTTCAGTGTTTGTGTGTTTGTGTTCAGACTGCGAGTGCGGGGGGCGATTATGGGTTTAGGATTAATGTCACTCTAATCTAAAGTAAGCTGTTATAATGGCTGCTTTAACTGCTGTGACTAAACATGCAAGCGCGCATGAGTATGAGTGTGTGTGTGTGTGTGTGTGTTTTTGTGTAAGACATCATGGGCACAAAGTTCTCTTGGCACACCTGAAGCGGCTGACACACTTTTGACACACTCTTGAGATAATAAAACAGCTTATAAATATCCAGCAACAACACATATTAGTGTAATACACCTGTTTAACATGAACAAATAAGGAAAGACTTGCGAGCAAGTACGACTCGATTTGAGGCTCACCAGCCCTGGCTCCTACGGAAGCCAAGAGCATTTTCTGTTTTTACAAAAATAAAAAAAAAACAATAGATCAAATAAAAAAAACAGCAAAGACATGAGAAGGTTCTGAAGCTGACAACAGGCATTTTAGACATCACTCAAACGACAAGTTGAAATAATGTCTACTCAAGTATGCAGATGATGCAATCGTATCTTCTTGCTTCAGATTTTAAATTACAGCGTTTACTCATTTTAAACGTATAACTGGTTATATAAACAAAACAACGCGTCCTGAACTCCATCCACATTATTGCAATTAAACTCCAAAAAATTAGTGAAAATCAACGTGAGTTGGCAAATGAACGAACAAAGAAGTGTGTTCAGTGCTTTTTAGTGCTTCTTTTTGTTTAGGGACATTAAATGGAGACAGTTTTATCCACAAGTCAAGAGACTGAGATAATAATTATGTAAAAATAATTGTCTTTTAATCTCACATTTTTCAGTCTTTTCCAGTCACACAGAAACTATTCTCCCCGTCAGTTTTCTTTCAGTCGACCACGTCCTCCCGTCGCTGTCCTTGTGCCCAGATCGGTTTGATGCCCCCGAAAGCTACAGAAGATCCAGAAATCAGTGGATGCGAATGTGTGTCAGGATGCTCGTATGAATGTGTGTGCATGTGTGTCCCCTGCACTGAACCAGGCCAGCAGTCATGCTCTACTTTTTTTCCTTCCAGAAGGTTGCGCCGAGAGAACGTTCGCTGCTGAATCCAGGTTGGGTGTCGCAGTGTTATCTGTGTGCCTGTGTGTGGGGGGGGGGGTCAACATGTCCATCACCTCCATCAGTCACAGAGTCCGTCTTTTCTTTGCTCCACATCCTCGTGTTCAGAGATTTGATTCTTTCACTGTGCTTTTCATCGTCGTCATGTAAGCGGAGAGAGAACGAGGGAGACCCGTCCGGCACCAGGCGGCTGGCTGGAGTAACCTTTGAAGGGCGCTATGTGGGGGAAGAAATGCTCAACTAACTACTAGTCTAACTGCTTCTTGCTACTGTAGCAGGTTTTTAGTGTGCTTTGTTTGGTATATACATGTCAAAGCACTGATGGTTGTCTGTGCCAATTGCCTCTCCTGGGCTGATTTTCCAGGAAAACATACCAACTAAGAAAGTAGGACAGGATCTCTGTGGATTCTTGCCCGTGCTCTTGTCTACATGTGTCTAAAATATCTGAATCGGTGTTGGCTGATCATGGATCACTGCTTTTTGGCACAGCGTTAGCCATATTTGCTACATAGCTATTAGTAGCTACATGCATCTCTATGCCAGCGAACTTCTACACGTTTTATACTGAGGCGTTGTTTTGCAGATGATTCTTCTAAAGGAGGAGGAGGAGGAGGAGGAGGAGGAGGTAGCGGCGTGGCCAAAGTTATCCTATCACAGGGCTGAAAATGACCGCTCACTGTCGTCGCACAGTGGCTTTTATTTTGAAATTGAGGATCCTCGTTGTAAAGCAATTTATGTTGTCTGCTCTAAAAATTTAAAAGCAAGTAAAAGTCAGATTTCTTCTTGTTTTTTCTCTTCTTTTTTTTTTTTAAATACAAGAACGTCAGCTCGACTTCCCATGCAGTTCAACATTATGGACATAAATGAGACAAATAGGTGGTTTATTTTTTCATGCCTAAACACATATTGTGATATATAGTATATTGATACTGGAGGAAGGTTTTCTGGTTATTGTATTTTTTTTCTTCACACTGTACAGGCCTATCTTTGGGAACAAGTGTTTTAAACTATAGATCGACTACGCTGTCATATCTGGTGGACATTTTACTCCTTGCCTTCAACCGTTCGGCATCTTTAAAAAGGCTATTTTTTCCTCCGTGCGTCGGGTAAATCCGCTCACACACATAATTCGCTCGAGTCTCATTGTGTTTCCTTCAAAACACACGGGCGTAGAGGTCATAAAAAGCGTCACATGAGTGGGAAACGTCTGGTTTAGAAAATATGATCCCCTGGGAGAAAGCTCAGCCGAGAGGAGATGTGATATGTGGAGCGAGCTGAGATGAAATCTGATCTCAGCATCTCCAGGAGCAGAGAGGTGTATCACATAACCACCGCTTTGAAAAAAAAAAGAAAAGAAAAGGGATGGTGTAGGAAGTTAATGACGCTTGAGCTAAATCTGTTTTTTATGTAAACACCCCTCAGTGTAATGTGCAATATGTGCTAATTGCAAAAAGAACTACACCTCTTAACATATGGTTTTCTACGTGGAGAGGGGGGTGAGGACGGAAGTGCAGGAGAGGTGATACCGTGGAGTGAGAAAGGAGGAGCAGGCTCGAGCTGAGCAGCAGAGGAAGCAACTGCTCTACTTTTATGGATGTAATTTCTATCAGCTCCATAATGGATGGAGTGGTGAGGAAGCTAATGGTGAAGTATGCATGACGAGACAGGGAGGAAATCGATGTTTCCTCCTCTTTTCTTGGCACTGCCTACAGTTACGGGTGAACGTCAGGTGCTGTGTGGAAGTTGTTCAGGACATTTCTACAAGACTTGTGTCCACCGGGGCCTGTTCCAATGCTATTTCCTGATTAGAAGTCGGAGGGGGATAAATGCTGCATCTTTTTTGGGAAATCTGTTCTGTGGCTTTTAAGGATCCGAATTATTGGTCAAATGGAAAATAAGATTTAGGAGAATCTGGTCTGTGTCCATCTTGTGTTTATTTGATTCGCTCCAACACTGGATTTTCTATTTTGCTCTCTTTCCACAAAGGCATGCCGTGTTCTTTACCTCTGCTTCACTGCACTGCATTCTGTCATTGTTTGTGATCTCATCCTTTAAATCTCACCTCATCCTGCTTTAACCCATTTTTAGTTCGTCTCTCTGCATTTCTATTTCAGCAAAACTGAAGTTTCAACCCCTCAAATACCCTTTTGAACATCCTCCAGTGCAACTACCCACGACCACTCAGCTGGTTCACCTCCCCTCCACTGCTCTCCATGCTGCTATCTTTAGATCCCCCATCCTGCTCCTGCACAGATGTATTTGGGAACAGACATTCCTAAGTTTTTCCCAAATATCTAATCTGCCGCCCCTCCACTCTCTCTCTCTCTCTCTCTCCATCTGTGCAGTAAGTGCAGGATTTTCTTCCCTTCACACATTTTCTTAGCCTCCATCTTATCTCGCTCCTGCACTTCTCTATCAGCTCTCATCTCCCTCTGAGCTCGTGGGTTTATTGACTTTTTACAGTATGCACTGCGAGTCTTTCCTGTCTATTCTCGCCTGCGTCTTCTCTTCCTTCCCTTATTCACTTATTTGAACTTCTTCCCTGTTTCCTTGGTAATTCTGTCTACTGCAGATCTATTCTTACCTCTTTCTCTTTGTTCTGGCTGCATCCTCTCCTCTCTTCTCTCTCTCTCTCTCTGTGTGTCCACTCTTTTCCTTCTGTTCTTTCTGCCTGAACCTTCCAGCTCTTACTTATTTTTCTCTTTGTCACATGTCGTCTCCGGCGTGGCAGCTCTCCTCTCCGTGGATAATGAGGACAGGGAAGAAGAATGCGTCCTGGTAGGATGGAGGTCGATCCCTGTCCCCCTCCCTCCCCTCCCTCCCCTCCCTCAACTCTGCTCCCCCTCCGCTCTCCTGCTCTGCCTCCTCGTCCCTCTCTCTCCCTCCTCTCCCCCTGTCCTCCCTCATCCTCACCTCCTCCTCCTCCTCCTGCTCCTCTTCCTCGTCGTCGTCGCCCTCTCCTTCGAGCACTCCTCTGGTCTCCTCGTTGTCCTGTCTTGAACCTAACCCCAGGAATCCTCCCCCGCCTCCTCCCCCTCCGCCTCCTCCACCTCCACTTCCTCCTCCCCCACCTCCACTACCTCCTCCTCCTCCTCCCCCGCTCCCTCCTCCATCCTCCCTACTTCCACCCAGGCCTCCCCCCATGCTTCTTGAATGAAACAGGCTGTTCTGGCGCCCACCTCCGAGTCTCCCCAGAGAGAATCCGCTCCGACTGAGCACCAGTCTTCCTCCGATGCCTGCACCTCCAGGCCCTGCCGCCCTGATCCCTGCCACGGTAGCGTTTAGCAGGGCCGTGGTTCCCATCGGGGCCCGTAGCCTGGAGGGAAGACTGGCGCTCGATGTGGTCCTCCGGCACCGGGGGCAGCTCTGTAGGAGGTAAGCCGAGTTGAACACCACAGGCAGAGCCAGAGGAGGCGGGTTGGAGCCCTGGCTGGGGGTGGTGCCCGGGGGCCCGGAGAGGGGCGTCGAGACCGTGGGGTTCGTCCCCCCACTCGTGTCCAAGTCCATAAGGAGGGCTTCGGAGTAGCTCGGGACCATCTGTTGGTTACAGCGGATGTGCCACTCCAATTCTGTCATGTCCACTGTGTTCACGCGGGAGATGGCTCGGTAGCTTGTCCCGTTCATGCCAATTCCAATCCCAATCCCTCCTGGATGGATTCCATTCTCAGTCCCTCTTTCAACCCCGTCCCCTCTCCCGCCTCCACCTGGCCCTCCTCCGCCGACTCCCCCGCCTCCGCCCGTGTCCTCGTCCTCCCCGAACAGCTTCTCCACGTGGTAGTGGACATATGCTGTGCGATACTCAGACACCACTCGCAGCGGCCAGGACAGGAGGAAAGCGGAAGCCAGCCAGAACACCCGGTGCCTCGAAAACCACGGCTGATGCGCAGGATCTGGGAACGCCAGGATGTGCTCGCGGAAATCCACGTTCTTCAGGTGCATCCCCTCCCGGGCCTCCATGTAGTCGTCGAGCCCCTCGTTCTCGCCAAAGAAGCGCGCTCGCTTGCAGTGAAAGAAAAGGGAGCAGAGTAACATGCTGTGTAAGAATTAGTGCTGAAATGTTCGAGAGAATAAATTTAAAACTGGTTTGAGTAATTTACTGAACAAGATACTTATAATTTATGGATTTTACTCAGTTTAACCGGCTTCTCCACATTTATGAAGACAAAATGGAAGAACACCATTAGCTCTAGGATATTTTCAGGGTAATATCACCACCTTCACTTTAAAGCTTTTATCTTTGTCATAATAAGGGAACAGAACCGTTTTCAGAACAGTCAGGGATTTTTTTTTAGATCTTCCATCATTTGATATGTTAATACTTGCAGATTTTTCATATGAACATTTTGAAACATCATGTTTTTAAAAGTATGTCACCATAAAATCCTATCAGTAGAGACACCTCTTGTCTGGAAGCTGGTAACGTGAGAACCATGACGGTGAGATAGATGGTGACTATATAATCAGAAAAAGTATGTGCTTACCGCCTGACGAAAATAACTGTCATTGTTTTATTCACTGGTTCGTTCACATACAGCAGCCTACAGCTTCTGAATCATTTTAATAAAACAGCAAATTCATTATTTTGTGTTAATTTTCCCACACAAAGCGGGGCGTAATGTCAGTCCTGTGTTGGACACAATGCAGAACTTTCAAAACCAGATCACTCTTTGGTGCACATAAACAACTAGTATCATCAGAAAGGCTGGTTTCTGGTGTTTACGTTATGGGGACTGCATGACTTATTCAACTAAACAACAGGAGAGTGAAATGACATTGTGTGAAATGAATAGTTCCACTCTCTCCTGTGATCTGATATTAACATATTATTGCATATATATGATAATATCTGCATTGCATTGATATTAACATATTATTGCATATATATGATAATATCTGCATTGCATTGATATTAACACATCTAGATATTGACATAGCTATACACGAGTAATTCAAACAAGACTAAAGGGTGTTGAAATGGAAACACAGCTGTATGCATTTGATGCAAACGCAAAATTATTTTTCTCACAATCACTTTGTCACACAGACAAGCTACTAGCATTGTTGGAAAGGTCATTTTGTACATTTTTTACTTAAATTATATATGCAACACCTTGCTGCAATAAATACTTTAACAGCAGTTCAACCAAAGAAGGGATGTGAATTTGGATGCAAAGTATGAAATGTACTTAAACGACAACACTTTAAGTAGAACACGGGTTGATTAGTTATTAGTCCTCCTTTTTGAGGTCTGCAGCAATGACTCATTTACCTAAAAGCTAAATTGATGTCTATTGAGAATAATCATTACTTGAACCTTGACTAATACTAAAAGCACCATTAACTATTTGAAATGCGTTTAGATGCTTTTAGTATTAGTCAAGGTTCAAATAATGACTAATACTAAAAGGACCAATAACTATTTGAAATACATTTAGATGCGTCTTCTGGAACATCTTACCTGGGTGAGGTAGGCAGCTTCAGCACGAGCACTTGAGAAGCTAAAGAACACGAAAAATTTGTCAATATCTTGTTAAAATAAAAATAAAGGAAGTGCACTTCTAAGATCAAATCCAGTCAACCAGAGTTAGAAGTGATATCTCGCGGGTACCTGAAACACTTGGTGAAACGCAGGCGAACAGCAGGATGCAGCTGCAGGTCGAGCAGCTCCTTCGATACATCTTTGACACCGTAGCGGGCGTAGTCGAACTCTGAACTGGAGGCGTGAGTGTTGACCCGCTCGTGGTAGACCTGAGGAGGGAAGGGCATCGACAGAGGGAAACAGAATGACGAAGAAGAAAATGGAGAGAGGAAGGAGGAGGGAGAACAGAAGCGGAGAAAGGAAGTTAATGGGAAGACATTTTAATCTCCGCATATGTTTCAGCAACAATAAAGCGTGGTTACTAATAGAATATTTTTCTTACTGCACACAGCTGTTTGCACACAGCCCCGCAATATTTCACTATAGGAGAAATTAAGATGTGCATAGCAGTTATTATAAAAGCTTACAACTTAAAGGTTTACAGTGCAGCTACAAACAATATCAAAAGAAAAGGGTGAAAGTGAGTGAAAGTGTGAGTGTGTGTGTTCGGAGGCGTCCTCTCACCTGTGTGGTCGTATACGCGTCTCCGTTGCGGTATCTCGTCACCTGTCTGGTCCTCCTCACGTAGTGATAGCTGATGGCCTTCCACCAAATGCAGGGCGTGGCCTGCTGAAGCCTCTGCACACGCTCATACACCTCCTGTGTCAAAGAACAAAAGCGGAATCTAATTTATTTATGGCACTTTTAAAACATGCCAGTATGCTCTCCAGTTTCTACAAATAAATCACAGGCAATGGCAGGAAAAACAGACGTTATCGTTTTGCATAAAATATAGTTAAAGTCTGAAATCTGGAGCAAAACAGGCTCTGCTATCGTTTCTTTAGTGTGAAGAAGATGTTTGGCTGTGGCAGATGAACAACTATATGCAATATGCTACTGGAATTCAACAACACAGACCAGAGTAGAGTAAAAAACAGACTGATGACCCCAGGTCAGCTTTTCTCCACATGGCTGAGTATTATTTTTTTCCCACACTCAAGTCGAAAGTTGTAAAATGGTGTTCTCTCCTCATGAAATATTAAAAGTCTGAGCAAACTGCATTAAACGTGGGTGTATTTAGAGCAGTGATTACTGTTTATCTTTCCCAAACACTGCTATTTTTATTGATTTACCCATTGCATTTTAACGATTTTGCAGACACAACACGGCAATCAATAAGTAAACAGAATTTCCTATTTAATGTCTTATTTCTCTGGCTGCTCTAAACCTCAGTCTGCTGGATGTTGTGGTCGCGGTGCTCAACCGTGCCACTAAAACCAGCTTTGGTAGATACCTGGAATTCAGCGTGAGCCAACATGGCCGTCTTGGAGAAGCAGTGCCAACACTCCACCAGGTAAACCACATACAGCATGGCCAGGAAGGCCAGGGGGATGTAGACGTAGCCGCTGGAGCACGGACTCTCCAAGTGCAGGATGTCATTGTAGTAGGCCGCCGAGGTGGCGTCGTCGTCGCCACTGAGGGGGATTATGGAGGAGGAGCCGAGGACGGGAACACGACAGAGAGCGCACCAGGCCAGCGTGGCGAAGCAGCCGTACATGAGGAGGGTCAGGAGGAGGCACTTCCAGTGGGACTCCCGACACAAAGAGGACGCCAGAGACTGCTGGACTGGCCTTTGCTGTGAGGGCACAGAGACAGATGACAGATTATACTTTTAGAATGCTAACAGACTTTGAAATCGAGCTGCATCACATACATGAGGAGAAACTTAACAGATATTCTTCTGTCTAATCTTAGACGTGGACACTGCAAGACTGGAAAATACTTTCACATCACATACTACCATATATTACTAACATTATGGCACCAGATAGAGCAATCAGGCAGCAGTGCACCACGTCACATGATCCATGGGGAAACAGATGTACAGAAAATGGAGACTGTGGTGCAGCAACTTTCTGTAATGTGAATAATACATTGCAGTGGGAAAACAGCAAAAACAGAAGGCTAAATGACAAGTCTGATTGAGAAAATGGTCAGGAAGATGTACATGCTATCTTTTCTTCAGCAAGAACTCAGTTTTAATATCTCTGTGCTAGCAAATGTTAGCCTCAAGCACCAGAATGTTTAGCTCTGCTTGACAACCTGCTCTGAGCATGCTAATCAGAATTATTTTATCATAATAATCATTAATTATTCATTGATTTCACAGAAAAAAAATCTGCATCAAAATGAGATTCTTCAACTGGATTCAGAGCATCTCCTCCAGGGAACACACTAAAAAAACTGTACCCAAATCATGTCCCTTGTTGAACATCTACTTATTGATAAACGGTCAATTTTACCGATGTTGCTTAAACGCCTCACCTGCAGGTTATAATTGTAGGTAGCCTGGCGGCTGTACACAGAGAAGCCTCTAGTCTCCATTAGTTACTGCAGCACAGCAACTTAAATAGATATGTGACTATAAATTACTTTGAAAAGAGTGAAATAAGGAGTTCTAATGTCAGAATTTACCCATGACGTGGGCTGTTGTTGTTTTTAGCGGAGCACATTTTAAGGCTCATTATTGCACTTGATCGTGTTCATTTAATTGTAAGGAGCCAAAACCCCAATCAAGATTAATATTCCATAAATTGTGCAGCCTTATAACCTTCATTGGTGTTTCTGTTTTGCAACCAAATCTTCCCTTTCAATAGTTAGGGTCCGAGCACAAAGTGTAAGGAACCTCTTGAAACCCTTGAGTTTATTAATATTCTCTATTGTTCCTCGATCATGTAGAGGCTGCATGTCGACAAACGCCATGTCTTGTAAATAAAGTTTAAAAAGCCGAGTGTATCCAGGACCCTTTACCCTCCTATTACCTTCAGATTTACTGACATATTTTACACTTGGGTTCAATTCGACCCCAGCAATTTAAACCCCCCAAAATATCAGAATTGAAATTGTTACCCAAGTTTATGTGTAAATAACCCTTTAAATAAAACTGACGAAAATATGTCAATGACTTATTTAGAGATGTTAAACGTTGAATGGGGTCAGACTGACCCCAAAGCTAACAGGAGGGTTAATCAGAGTCAGTAGTGTTCTGTTAGAAAAGTTTTCTCTTGCAGATTAGTCATTAAAAAAAAGAGAACCATGTCAGTTTTTTTTGTCTCAAGTAAGAAAAGAAGTTGCAGCATGATTGCGTTAAGCAGCCTTCACATTACACTTCCTGCAATCAACCTGAGCGATAAACGGTGCTTCCCTTCTACCAATCAGCTTGTAATATTCTTAATATAGCAGAGCCAAAACATTTGACAAACTTCTATGTACTCATGTTGACAGTCAGGATTGTGATAAATAATACAGCGTGCTTCACGATGTGAATATTTAATCGTGTCTGACAGGTGAAAATGATTGCAGCTATGGTTGCTACATCAAATATATAAAGCCAGGAACAAAGATTTAACACAACTGGTGACCCCCTGGTGAGGTTTTAATAACCACAACCTTCCTGTTTGGTAAACAGTTTCATATTTCAGAGCGTAAGCTGAGGTCCTGACCAGCAGAACGCATTAGACTGGGCCATACCCATCATAAGATAAGTGCTGCACATTAGACGCACACGCTGTTTATGCCGCCCTCTAAGTGCACACGGCCTCACTTGCACTGGGAAGACATCATATTACAGTGCACTCAAACACACACGCGTGCTTTAGAAACATGCATAGATGCTCTAATGTGCCCCTCTTCTCTCTCTCTCTCGCCATATTTCTATCCACGCTCACGCCAGCATGCACGTTCTCAGCATTGTAATGCAGCCAGCGAAAGAGTATGTGAATAATTTAGATGATGCTTCTAGACTGTTCTGTAGCCAACCGACTCCACTCCAACATCATCGGCGCTGCTGCTGCTGCAATTTGTGTGTACGTGTGAATGAGGGAGAGCAGGGAAGAGATTGTGTACGTCATGCGTGTGGAGGTGAGGGAACACAGGTAACACACACCTGTGCTGCCTGCGTCATGTGTGTTATTTGGGTCGGTACATGCGTGCGCCCTCTCCTCGCCGCCGCTGCCTGAATGCGACAAGGCAAAAGAGCAACAGAGCAGATGCCAAAAAAAAAAAACCCCACAGATGGGATGACACCATCGTCCTTTCCTCCTCTCAGTCAGGTCTGTCTGTCCTGTCAGCACATCACTCCCTCCATTTATCAAACACACAAGCCCCTCTCCCTCCCTCTTTATCACTCACTCCTTCTCTCATGCACACTCTCATCTCCTTCATCCACAATGTGCGACTCGCTGGCATGTTTGGCTCGCTGCGACACACACCCATACGCACTGCCTTTCTGTTTTTTTTTTATTTATTTTACAACTGTACGTCAAGGGCAAGTAGTGAAAGGCAGAGTGAAGGGCACCTACACTCCAGCAGCCCGTCACCGCTCTGCTAAAGCTCCCTCGAAAAAGCATCCGATTGCAGACTTCGGGTAAATTATCACTGGTGCCAATTTCATATTTTCTATTTCCTGAATGCCTCCTCTCTTCACATCCTTTTTATTCTTACATAATCCTTTTTTTTTTTTTCTTTCCTCCTCCTTCCCCGAATCTTCCCTCCCATCTCCTAAGCATTTACTCTCCAATCCCAACCTCTCCTCCTCCTCCCCCCCCACTTCGTCCTCACCCCCACGTCTCCTCTGTTACATCCTCTTTGAAAGTCTGTCTCTAAGTGGATTGATTGGGCTAAAAGTGTAGTGTAGCGGCAGAGGGGGGAGGAGGATGAGGAGCGTGAGAGAGATGGAGAAACGGTCATGAACTTTTCATGAATGCAAGTATGAAAGGAAACAAAATGAGAGAGAGGGAGGAGAGAGACTAAAGAGATGGCAGCAGTGACAGACTGCACCTCTCTCCAGGGAAGCTCGCTGCCAAAATCCATCCTTTTCGTCCTTCTCCCTCCCTCTCTCATTTTGTCTTGATGCCTCCAAATCTTTTTTTTTCCCTCCTGTTACCTTTGGCAAATAAATGTCACCCAAAGAGAATATTCTAGCAATAAAAAAACAACCTTCGAGGTTCTGGGCCAACATTTTCATCAAGACTCTGCAGCTCTGGTGAGGCCGGTGTGAGGGAAATCAGCCAAGACGGGAGTCAAATTATTCCTGCATGCACTTATGCCAATCAGTTTTTGTCAGTATGAGCAGTTCTTATTCCCACAGGTAAAGACAAGACACGCTGAAATGTGCTGTCCCTGAGTGACACGGCCCAGAGACAGCTTAATGAGCTCAGGGTCGAAGCAGTGGCACCAGTAACTAGAGTTACCAGCTTGTTGTTGTTTGTCCACCGAGCAGCGAAGTTGCAGTTTAAAGCCAGACTCAAATAATACATGTAGTGAACATAGAAAGGAAAAATAATAGGTGGGCGCTGGGGAGGCAAACTGGAAACAGTTTTCAGTAAATGTCAGCTTTAACCATCTATAATTGACTAATTGCTAATACAGATAAAACATGCTGATACAGCTCGTTAACCACAGACAGGTGACATTTGCTGCAAAAGCACATCAAACACTAAGCTGGTGATAAAACACTGTCAAAATAAACGACAGTTTATCTGGCTTATTTGAGCTCTGACCAGAAGCTTTTAACCAGCACAGAAATCTCCATCATGGTTGTCCTTTGGGTTAATCCATTTTAAACCATCAGAGGTCTTCAGCTGGACCATCAAACAAGGTTAATTCCTACAAAGTGGGGTCCAACAATGAAAAATATGACTATATTGTAAAGTATTCTATTTGTTTTGTGTTGTTCAGACATGCATACACATATGGCTCAGAAAATATCCCGCGCCGACTGTTGCATGATTACTTTTTTTGTTAATGTGCACTGAAAAGATTGGACATTTCACAACAGCCTCATTTTTTTCATATTTGACCTCACCCATAATCAAAGACTCTTTGATCTACGTGTCCAATTATGCAGATTCTGAATCCATCGCATGATGACAAACAACAGCAGAAATTCAATCCATTCCATCTTTAACAGATATTGTTGTTCAACCATAGCGTCAAATTTCAATGTGCGAAAAAATGCACCAAATCATGGTCTTGGTATCTCCTAATAACACTGAAGCTATTCTTAGCAACAACAAAGCATATGAGCTAGATTAAGGGGTTTATAAATGTTGTATCTGCCATTTCTGACCATAAAAAATGAAAGAAGGTGAGCTCCTCCAAAGGCATCTGTTCAACGCTGAGTTCAAGTGACTACTGGTGCCAAATATTAAGAATTTCTCCTCAAGCGTTACTGATGTTTTGTGTTCATGAGTTGAGTTTTAGCCTGATTTGTGAGGTCACAGCGACCTTTGAGCACCAAAATCTCAATGGGATGACGTATGGACAACCCAAAAACACCTTCAGCCAAGGAAGTAAACCAAAGACTTCCCACAGTCGCCACACAAAACAAAAAAGTCCACACCGACCTATATGTGCAGTAGATAACAAAAAACAAAAACATTTCAGTACTTTGCCCAATATAACATTAAAGTAGATGCTGGCAGTTTACAGAAATAATCAAATAGGTGCTAATGGAGGATCAAATTCTCCATCTAGCAGACTATTACGTGATAGACGGCAGCTTTAGCTAGTTGTTAATAAGACAAAACGTCTACTGTGGAGAAGATGTAACTTGGAAATGAGAAAATCTCCTTC